GATTTGTAGGATTGAGGAGAGCCTTATTTATAGGTGTAGGAGAGAGAGTCTTGGAAAAGAAGACATCAATTTGATTGGTCCTTCTTGATTTGATATAATCTCTTTCCTTATCTTAAGATTTGATATAATCTCTTTCCTTATCCTAAGATTTGACTTGGTGGGCAAGAAATAATTATTTTATTAATTAAATATCTTATTTATCTTGGATTTATGTCCCAAAAATAAATAAAGAAATTAGTTAATAAAATATTAAAATTTCGATGTCTACAAATGCCCCCTTGAGACTTGTTCACGGACAAAATGTCTTGGTAGTGAATGAGTCTCAAAATTTTAAATTTGGTTTGGACATGCAGATAGTTTAAACTCTTATCAAGGAGTCCTTCATTTGACTTGATTTGTAGATAGTTTATACTCGTATCAAGGAGTTCTTCATTTGACTTGATTTGTAGATAGTTTAAACTCGTGTCAAGGAGTTCTTCACTTGACTTGATTTGTAGATAGTTTATACTCGTATCAAGGAGTTCTTGTTATGTAGACCTTTTATTCTCGTGTCAATGAGATCTTGATATGTAGACATTTTATGCTCGTGTCAAGGAGCCTTCAAGATTGATATGTAGACCTTTTATTCTCGTGTCAAGGAGATTTTGATATGAAGACATTTTATGCTCGTGTCAAGGAGCCTTCAAGTTTGATATGTAGACCTTTTATTCTCGTGTCAAGGAGATCATGATATGAAGACATTTTATGCTCGTGTCAATGAGCCATATAGATAGTTAAGGCTCATATCAAGGAGCATATAAAGATAGTTTAAGCTCATATCAAGGAGTATTTGAATATGTAGATAGTTTAGGCTCATATCAAGGAGCATTTAAATATGTAGATAGTTTAAGCTCGTATCAAGGAGCATTGGAATATGTAGATAATTTAGGCTCATATCAAGGAGCATTGGAATATGTAGATAGTTTAGACTCCTATCAAGGAGCATTTGAATATGTAGATGTTTTAGACTCATATCAAGGAGCATTTGAATATATAGATAATTTAGACTCGTATAAAGGAGCATTTGAATATGTAGATAGTTTAGGTTCATATCAAGGATCACTTGAATATGTAGATTTGATGGAGCTTTTCATGTAAATTGCCCCCATGGAATTTGAGAAGAATATGGAAGACCAATTTTGTTTCTCCTCCATTCGGATGAAGGTTTCATGACTTGAAGAGACATCATTCTTAGTTGCCCCCTTGTACAATATTTTCAAAGAGGTCTTCATGCATCTTCAAAGATTTTCGAATTTGATTTGAAGAGAAGAGATGAGAGGTAGAGAAGGTCCCACTGGGCGTGCCAAATTTGTAACAACAAATTTTATGAAAAACATAAAATTTCTGTACAACTTGATTTATATTTCGATCAAACGATATGCGGGTACAATCTCTATTTATCTCCTCCGATTCTTCTCTTCATGAATTTGGGCTTGAGATCTTGACAGATGGATTAGACATTGATCTCCTTCGAGTTTGGTCTTAAATTTCTCTAACATTAATTTGGGGGTCGAATGACTTATTCCCATGTATTAAATGTTAGGCCTTGACTTGATTGAAGACAACTTCTTGGAGAACTTGTTTCTTTGATCTTCTGGAAAGAGGGACTTTGACTTGAATAACGTTAACTCGAGGGCTTGATAGCTTTTCCCCGATTCAAATGCTATGTTGGTTGAACTTCTCAACGAACGAGGCTTGAATGTCGCTTGAACGTTGTTGATATTCTTAGATTGACTTGAGAGGAGTGGAAGTCGTCTCTTTACTTCTTGGGGAAGAGTCGCCTCCTCTTTTTCTTCTTCTTGGCATTCTTCTTCATTGAATGGACTTCAGGCGGTTCTTCAAGAACTTCTTCAAATCTTCAAGAGGGTTTTTGAGAGCTCTTGAATTTGAGGCTTTAATCTTTGAGATGTAACGCGGCTTGAATGTTGCTTGAACGTCGTTGATGTTCTTGAATGATTTGAGAGGAATGGATGTCGCCTCTTTGTTTATTGGAGGACCGTCATCTCTTTTTCTACTTTTTGGCCTTCTTAATCATTGAATGGACTTCGGGCGGTTCTTCAAGATCTTCTTCAAATCTTCAAGAGGGTTTTTTAGAGCTCTTGAATTTGAGACTTTGATATTTTTGAGGTGTTTGAGGTGTTTGATGTGCTTGAAGTGTGTTTTGTAGGATTGATGAGAGCCCTATTTATAGGTGTAGGAGAGAGAGTCTTGGAAAAGAAGACATCAATTTGATTGATCCTTCTTGATTTGATATAATCTCTTTCCTTATCCTAAGATTTGATATAATTTCTTTTCTTATCCTAAGATTTGACTTGGTGGGCAAGAAACAATTATTTTATTAATTAAATATCTTATTTATCTTGGATTTATTTCCCAAAAAAAATAAAGACATTAATTAATAAAATATTAAAATTTCGATGTCTACAAGACCATGTCTCTACTTGTATCTAAAATAGACTTAAAAGTAGATCAGGTCTCTTTTCTTGCCTGTCACATCAGCATGACTCCGTCTAATTCTATTTGCATCAGAGAGTATATTTTTTAGACCGAAGCTATTTTAGAAGTGACACATAATTTTTTATGATTGAACTCAAAATATTGTGATCGTGAATGCAGTGTGGTGTGCCATCATTATATCAATATATCAGTACAATGCAAACTTTCAGCCCACCAATAATGCATTTACAATAGTGTTGTAACCCAAATTGTAACTCAAGTTGATTTTATAGCATTACTCGTCAAAAAAATCCAAAACACCATACTTGCCCCAACTTAGTGCCAATTGATAATGGACAAATTATTTATTGGGCATTCAGCAAGTCTATATTAGGAGACTTGTTTAATTACTTTCCAAAAAAAATAAAATAAAATAAAATAAATTATATATATTTTTTAATATAACATATTATATATAGTAGTTCAACACATAGGCTAGGTTGATGGTGTCCTGGTACTAAGATATTGGACCAGATTGTCCAATCTCGTCCGTTGAAAACGAAGAGTCGTGATTGAGACTGGTTTTGAATTATTTAACGAGAGAAGCTAGAGCAGACAAGTGGGCCTGCTCAATTGTGTATATAACTAACTTGAGAATTACAAGAGATCATTATCATCATATTAATTTTTAGGGAGATCAGAGATACTACGGTCTCGTTACGAAATCATTTCGTCGGGTTTTGTAACCGTTAAATCATTATGTAACTGTCGAGATAAATGATCTAACAGTTACAAACCCCGAACGGAATCGTAACATTTCTTTAATTTAGGGGCAGAGGTATATTACTGAAAAGAATTAAAATTTATTAATGCCAAAACCTATTGTTCTAATAATGATCCTTTATTTTAATTAAAATTATTTTAATGATCAACTGTTCTAATATTTTTCGTAATAATTAATACATACAATCAATTAAAAGGTAGGTTCCAAGAAAGAATTGCGGCCATCATTACAAATGGGGTCTGTTTTGATGGGCATTACCCCAAATGATTAACACTAAAGACAATTGAAAGCTTGCATTCACAGCCGCCATTTCTTCTTCCCAACATTTATTTTATTTATTTATTTATTTATTTTTATTTTTTTTTTGGGCATCATACGAAGCAATTTATTAATTAATCAAAATTAGGAGAGACGAAAGGACATGGAAAATAAAAATATACGGAGACTCGGCATTTCGGAGGTGTATTTATTCAATATTTTTACTTATTTTCTATATATTTTAATTATGCTATATTTTTTTTTTGGTGCAAAGAGAGAAAGAAGCCACAAGGCTCAAACTAGTACTCGACGAGGATACGACACCTCGTTATTGTCATGATCAATCCACGCTCCTAATACCTCATGTGGAAGTACCAAGCGATGTAAACCAATTGGGTATGAAGCCGCCAAGTCTGCCATATGATTAGCCGCAAAGTTTGCTTCCCGATAAATGTGGTTAACACTAACACACCAATCCCTGTGAAACAAATCTGGAATAGCCTGCACTAAAGCATCATGAGGTCTATGCCACCATACTCGCAGACCATATTCTTCATTTTTTTTTAGGATGAGATAAATCTACTATATTGTCTACTGTCATACTCCTCGTGTTCATAATATGTCGTTTTGAAAAATTACACAATGATTAAAAATATTTATTTTGTCAATAATAAACCTCTTTAATAAAAATTAATAACATGAAAATTAAGAGTCGATAAAAAAAGGCGTAGTGTATTTATTAGTTAATTGAAAGTAACAATAGAAAAATATGTAAAAAAAAAAAAAATCCAAAACATTGTTTATTTTGTGAATTGAGGATACATAAATTCTATGGAAGCCATATAAACATTTATAACTTTATATACTAACACATGTCCAATGTGCATATACTGCAGGACACACGTTAATACCTTATTTGTGAATAATTATACATGACTCTATAAGCCGAGTCATCCGATTAATTCATAGCAAAATCGATGGTCGATAAAGCCAAAATGACATTTAAAAATCGAGAAAAAGGAGAGCACTTGAGAAATAGAAAAACATGAATAAAGCTCACCTCTCTTAACTAAACGGCCCTTTTCTCCTTTCTTTTTTT